TTTGAACAACATTTGAAGAGTTTGAATTGGCCTGCAAATGATTAAACTTAATAATGTGGTTCTCCTAATAATATTAATGGAGATTTTGTTATTGGTTCCTATGACAACATTAAAAATGTTTTTTTTTTATTTTTAGTTACTCAATTAAACAAGCATTATTTCTAGATGCTCTCAAAATAGCTAGAATTACTCCAACCTTTAAAAGAGGTAAACAAACTAAACCCAATAACTATCGCCCATTTTCAGTTTTCCATGTTTTTTCAAAACTTTTGGAAGGAATTTCGTACAATAGAATATATAACTATCTAACTATAAATAAAATACTATACAAAAATCAATTTGGATAAAAAAAAAATGCTGCTAAACATGCAGTACTTCAACTTACTAGAAGTATTGCAAATTCATTTGAAAAATTACAATATGTTCTAAGCATCTTCATAGACATATGAAAAGCTTTTGACACTATTGATCACGAAATTCTTTTTAAAAAACTACAATTTTATGGAATCATAGGGAATATATTATTATTATTAAAAACCTATTTAAAAAATTGGAAAGAATTTGTTAAAATAGATTCAACCTCATTATAAAATTTATTAAATATATCATGCGAAGTTCCACAAGGATCCATACTAGGACCTTTTCTTTTTTTAGTTTTTATTAATGATCTCTATAAAGCATCAAGTTTGACAACAATTATGTTTGCTGATGACACAAATTATTTTTTAATTTACAATAACTTACCAACATTATTCAACAAAATGAATAGTGAATTCATTATGATTTCTATCTGGTTTAAGTCAAACAAACTATCAATAAATATCGAAAAAACTAAATGGATTCTCTTTTACTAAGCTTCATAAAAAATCTACTTTCGGTTATACCTTCCTTGTATATTGATAATACTGAAATAAAGAGAGCTTACGTTACTAATTTCTTAGGTGTTTACATTGATGAAAACCTCACACGGAAAAACCATGTTAACAACCTAAACAATAAAACTGCTAGAAGTATAGGAATGCTATACAAATCAAGACCTTTTTTAGATTACTCGTTTGTTCATTGCCATATTAATTATGCTAATCCTTCATGGGGTGGTGTAAATAAAAGTATACTAGAACTTCTTTATCATCAACAGAAGCCAGGGCCGTCCCGAAGAGGTCTTTCAGGAGGTGGGTGGGGGGGGGGGATGGGAGGTGTGTATACTTTTTCCCAACTAGAAACACCAATAAAAAAGGTCTTCAATATTTGCAATTAGCCAACTATAGTTCAAAACTTGCTCAATGTACCAACTCAAATGCTTATATGAGAGCTTTGTTGGGGTGGAACACACCGTACACCCCCCTTCAGGATGGCCCTAACAGAAGTATATAGCACATATTATAAACTTTAAAGACCGTTTTACTCATGTCATACCTCTTTAAATACGTACTTTAAATACCTACTTTAAATACCGTCATACCTACTAGAATATTCTTAATGTATTTCAACTAAACGTTTACAGTATTCTTTGCTTTATGTATAATGTAAAACTAACACTTTCACTTATCCTTTTTATAATTTATACTCACATAAAAAAAGAAACAAATACTATCTTCGAAATTAAAACTTTATCCAACAACTTTTTTTGCATACAAATCTTGGTAGATCTTATATCTATTATTGAAAAGCTTTTTTATGGAACAAAATAGTTTTGAAATATTTTGATTTTAATTAAGAGTGGAATTACAACACATTTAAAAAAAAACTTAACGATTATTTTATCTATTGATAACATGCTCTTTTATTTTTAATTTTTATAAAGTAAATTTTTTAAAATTCAATTCTTAGTTTTTACATATATGAATGTTATACAGGGTGACCAGAAAAAACGGAGATAAACATTTTTAATTATTTTTTATTAGACTAACAAAAATTAAGTAAAGCAATAACAAATAACAACAACATGGACCTTCCGCAATAATATACTCATCCGATTTTGAAGTGGCTTCCTTCCGCGGCGATACATAAGCCCAAACGCGTCTTGAAATTTTTAGCGATGGGTCGCAGGTCTTCTGGCTACAATCTATGCCATTCCCGGCGCAGCGATTGTTTCAGTGACTTCAAACTTTTATGGCGTGTAGCACAGACCCTAGCCTCCAAAATTAACTACACGCTGTAATCCATCGGGTTGAGATCCGGCGAGTAGGGCGGCCATTCCGAAGACGCAATGAAGTCCGGAAAATGGGTCCGACACCAGTATTGATATGTGGAAGTTTCTGTTTTTTAGAAGGCAGATAAAAGAATGTCTATTTTGTTTTTTCAGTATTGAGGGACAATCTATTTTGTTTAAAGCAAACAGAAACTTTTTCAAATTCATTTGTCATATCAGTAAATAGTATATAAATATTTTCATGAGAAATATCTGCAAAATTTATTGTTGTTAAGTTTGAAGATTTATGAAGATCGTTTATGTATATTAAAAAATAAAATAAACCAAGTATTGATCCTTAGGGAACTCCACATGATATATTCATAAATGCACGAGATGTGGAATCTTTACTGAAAACAAACTGTTTACGGTTTGTAAGGTAACTTTTGAACCAAAGCAGACTTTTAGCTTTAATACCATAGGACAAAAGTTTTTTAATAGGATTTGGTGATTCACGGTATCAAATGATTTGGACAAGTCAATAAAAACCCCTTATGTAAAACGAAAGTCATTGAATGAATCTGCAATGTTGTGTAAGTTGAATATATATACCAATATATATACCAGTTTAATTGCATTTTTTAGATTTTAATTTTTAGTTTGAACTTTATGTAAAGTTTTATACTAATATAATATAAGAAACGTTAGCTAAAACACATAGTTGTAGTACTATTTACAGTTTTTATGATAAAAGCATATATGCAAACACAGAGGTTTAATTTGGTAGCCACTTAGGTTACCAAGATAAACCATGGGCGCCGCATGAAATATGCACTGTTTGTTCTAACTGGTTACACGATTGGGTGACGGAAAAGAAATTTTCAATGCCTTTTGCCATGCCATGTTATGGATGGAACCGAGAGATTATCATGTATATATTTTTTTTAAGGCAACAGCATAGGATTTTGTACAAAAAGCTTTACTACATTGCATAAATAGTAATGGATTCAACAAGTAGGCGAGTGAAACAATGCGAAGAACTGCCCATTCCAATTCCTCCAGACGATGGTTTAGATTTTCTCAAAGATTAGGTGGATAGTGATCAAGGTACCACTGGTGGCTTTTTCGGACTGTCTACAGATCCTAATTACATTGGAAAACTTTTTGAGCCTAGAGTTATTAACTCAAGGACAGTTAAATGATTTTGTTAGAAACCTATCACTGTCTAAAGGGAAAAAAGAGCTTTTTGATTCGAGACTACAAGAGAACAGTTTTATTGACAAAAATGTTTGTATCGGTTGTTACCGAAAACGAAATATTAAATTAGCAACTTACTTTACAGTAGATCAATTTGTAATTATCATAATATTCATGGTCTGTTCACAGAATTAACTAAGACGTATGTAGCATCTGATTGGTGTCTTATAAAAATGTCAAACCATACAAAACTAACAAACTTCACCTCCCGTGTATTGAGCACCTAAGAGTAATACTAACTATAGGCTCCTTGCGACTAAGCTTCCAGTGCTATATTTTTAATCTCTTTTGATTAAAAATATAGCACTGGAAGCTTAGTCGCAAAAAACAAACAAACTGGAAATTCTTTTGTTTTACCCTTTTTTTTAATAAATACTATGGGTAGGAGTTTGTCAGCTATATCCTTTCTTGTTAGACTACTATATCCTGATCTCAACATCAAAATAAGTTTTTAGAATTCTGGATCTTTAAACAAATTGAAATAATGAATTTGTTGCAAATAATACTTGCTTATCAAGTGTTACCTATCGGCTCTGACTTGTTTCAACAACAATAACTCAAAACTAGGATTTTTAATTAATGGACAGATACATTCAATAGAGGAACATATAGAACATATACAATAGACATACAACAGAACATGATAGACATACTTAATGAACATACTAGGCATACTTAGATAGATAATGGACATACTGAGTGGACACATTTATATTAGCATTATTATTTATTAGACTAATTTTTTATAATTTATATATAGCTATATTTTCTGTCCGTGATTTCTTTTCTGGTAACATTTAGATTAAAATTTTCTGCAGAAAAATGATGATAATCCTAAGGGTTGCTTTGTAACATCAAATTGAATGTTGGGAAAAGCAGTTTGAAATTCAATTTCTAAAAAAATAATATTAGTTAAATAATACTAATTCCAAAAAACAATTTATTGTTTAGTGTAATTTATATCACTTTGTGCATTGTTTTCATGACAATATTTATCTAAGTTAACTTATTTTTGCTACCAGACCCAGCAGTGTTTTTCTGCATACCCTTCATCCTTTAAAACTTTTTGTTTCGAGCTTTTCAAATTTGCATACTAGTTTTTTAGTACGTTTTAAATATTTGTGTTTCTGTAATAATATAGCAAAAGTTTTCAAAATTTTTAGTGTAACATCTTTAGATTTGACAAACAGGAGCAATTTTTTTTTAACTAAAAAAAAAAAAAAAATTAATGCAATACACAAATTTAATAAAATCGAGGAAATCCTCATAATTGCGTAGAGTGGATAGTTTTGTGGACACAAAGCTATCCACAACAAAGGGTTAAAAGAAATCATTTTAGAATCTTGAGTTTCTCGCCTTTTAATTTAAATAAATTTTTTTCTCATTTAAATCAAAAAAAATTTGATTTAAATCAAAATTTGATTTTTTTTTTTAAAAAAAAAAAACGAAATATTATTCAACCCTGGATTCTGGGTATTATATTTTTGATTAAAAAAAAACGAATTTCTAAAAAAAATCAAAGAGGAAAAAAAATAAAATAATAAAAAACAAATTTTCACAAGTTCTCATTTTTATTTAAATAATAAAAAAATAATTAAAAAGTACATAAATAACTAGTCGTATAAAAATTCCTTTAAATCAAAATATATATAAAAAGTAATTTATAAATACAAATACTAAAAAAATTAAAAATTAAGAAATAAAATTTAAAATAAAACAAACCAGAAAACATATTATGACAGTAGCTGCTTCACTAGTGTGCGTATTTGATTTACCTACAAATATATATATATATATATATATATATATATATATATATATATATATATATATATATATATATATATATATATGTATATAATATATATATATATGTTTATAATATATAATACTATGTGCTGTATGTGCACTATAATACTATGTGCTGTATGCTCTATTATGATAAATAAACACTGGATTTAAAAATATTTTGAAGAAAAATATTTTTAGAGGTGCCTAAAAATATTATTTTCATATTATAAAAATTATAATATTTGGAATTTTTATATAATTTTGCTTTATTTGAGACCCAACAAGACACACTTTTAAAAAACTTTTTTTTATTCATATTAGAGACCCATTAAATTTTCAGAGGTCTTGAGACACCCCTAAAGGTTGTGGTGAGGATAGAACATGAAACTACTTGCTTATGAGGTGATCACTCTACCACTACACCACTACCCCATAGCTTATGTAGATTAAATAATTGGCTTAAAAAAATCACATTTTAGTACAACTATAGATAACTGCTACAACTGTTACAACACACAGTTATGGCCAAAAAGATTCGACAACCCAATGTATATCGAAAAACTATTTTTGAAATGTACAGTATACATATTAAGTACTACAAAACATTTTAAATCAAAACACAACATACAGGAACATAAATACATAAAAGAGTTACAGTATAAAATATGTTTTCATACTTTGTATAAGCTGCTTGACTTTTTAGAACAGCCTCTATTCTTCATGACATTGAGGCAAAAAAAGTCACAAAATTTAGGCGTTATTTTATAACCATATGCTTCCATTATGGATTTTATCAGATTTGCTTGTGAGGTTGAATTCTGTTTAGAAAATTCTGCTTTTACTTTTAAACAACAAATTTTTTATATATGTTTGTGTCCTCTAAACCTTTACATGTTCATTCACCCATAAATTTCTATATGAATGTTTGTATTCTGTCACCCGTAAACTACTATATGTATGCTTGTGATCTGTCTAAACTTTTAAAGCGGTGTTTTCTCACCCATAAGTTACTTTATGTATGTTTGTGTTCTGATTTGTGTATGATTGAATCATTATCGTAGTATAAGCTCAGTTACCAATTAGTGAAGTTGAAGGAAATAGTAGACTAGTTAAAGAAACTAGTTCCAACTATAAAACTTACGCTCTCCCTAATTTCTGTTGATAGATTTGGTTAGATGTAATGTTTTTTTAATGGAATTTCAAAATATCCTGTTCAATGTTTTATAGTATAGGAAGTAACTTCTTTTAACTACTCCTGGTTAGGTCAGGTTCAGGATCATCAGGATCAACCTGTTAGTAGTATTATGTAGTCCAATACTAATTTTTCCATGTCCTGTTGCCTTGTAGAGTTTACTTTTATAGACAAAGCATCTAGCTACTGTCTTGTAGAAGGCCTCCTAGACAAAGAATTTAGGGGTAAGCAGAAATAAGGGGTAAGCAGAAAAATTCTATTGACCAGCCTGCAACCTTTCCTTATTTATTAGGTTAGCATTGATAGCCTAATAGATAAGGAAATATTATATTGTTTCCTGCCTAGGATGATGAATACTGAACCTTCTTGACTCTAATCATAGATTTTTTCTTGTGCCTCCATTATAGTGGCTATGCAACTCTTCCTGTTATCACTTAATAAGGCTACAGCTCTAAAACTCAGTTTAATGGTTCTGAGACAAGCTCATAGTAAGGTTTTTAAACTCTGTAGTAGCTTTCAGAAAGACTAATTCCATCAACATCTGTAAAATGTCACTATTAATTGCGCTGCAAACCTTTCCAGAAAACGCGTGCGGTTTTTTGTCTCATTTGTCTGCTGTCTAAGTTTTTTACTTAGACAGCTTAGTCACGGCTGTTTGCAAGTTATATTATATTAGGTATTTAAATACTTTGCTAAAAAAAGTTTTAAAAACAAAAAAGACAAAACTAACAAAATAGGAAATTTAAATAAAAAAAGATAGACAAATTAATCATTTAAATAATTTGTGTACTAATTTTATTCTCGTTTCTTTAAGATGGTTGTTACTTTCAGCAACAAAATTGGATAAAGCAAATTAAAAAAAAAACAACAAAAAAACAAACAAACAGTTTTAACTCGAATTAAAAAGAGTGATTTTCATATATTTTATTTGTTTTTGTTTTTAATGGAGGAAAGCAAAAGTATAAACAGGAAAAGATTACTACATCTGTCCAACAACATCAACAGGTGAATATTTTTAAACTGAACTTAAAAAAAAACAAAACCTTTTTACCACATTTTCAGTACTCGATTGGACCTCCTTTGTGCTCAATTACTTGATAAATTCATTTTGTCATACTTCCCACTAAGTTTTCCAGCACTTTTGGCTCCATATCCTCCCAGCATTTGAATACGGCTACATTTAGCTCTGCCACAGAAATATATTGTTTCTGGTCAGCATAGATTTAGACATCTTACGTATTCATAAGAATACGTAAGATGTCTAAATAGCTAAATATATATGTAAGATGTCTAAAGAGATTTCTTACTTGTTCCCAATTGCGTGCCATGTTTTCATAGGCAAATTCCATCTGTTTCTGTTTGTGAACAGGCTTCAAATTTGGTGCTTTATTTATTTTTAATTGTCAATGTGTGGGCTGTCTTTAAGAACTTTTCTAATCATCTCCTTGCAAACATTTAAACCCACATCTGACTTAATAAACGAGTGGTTCAGAGTTCGATCCCCACCACGTCCCTGGTAGTACCACGCTCAACTCGTTTCTCCACGCAGCGGTCTTGTTCGTCAAGGTTCGTGTTTCGGAGTTATAGAGTTGAGAGAGGGTTATAGCCACAAAATAAGTAGCCTCCTCGTCTGTAGTGGCCTTCTCGGCCTTGAGGAGGTGAAGTAAAATTTAAAAAAAAAAAAAATTGTTTTCAAACTTTTTGATGAATTTGATGTCGAGGCAATCCCACAATGCATCGCAAAAAATTATTGAAAAATTTGTAAAATTCTCTTAATTCTTCTTTATTTTTAACTATTAAAGTATTATTACACATTTATTTTTATCAAAGAGATTTTATGAATTAATTATAATTATGAATCAAAAATTTAATTTTTTTATAATTAAAGAGTATTTTTTTTGATTCTGAAAGCATTGATTCAAAAGAAGTTTATGCTAAACACAGAAAACATTTTTAAGTAAGTGAAAAACAATTTTTTACTTGTCTTCTATATAACTGCTATTGATTACTAGTCAACATAATGTCAACATAAATGCCTAAAGTGTTAACATAATGTCAACATAAACACATAAACTATCACCATAATATCTACATAAACACATAAATTGTCAACATAAATGCATGAAGAGTAAATAGGCCCAAATTTATTTTTTGATCTTTTTTTAATGTGAAGTTTAAACAAACATAAAAAACTTGTACCAACATGTTTGTAGACCCAAGTAAACATGTAGATGCAAATATTCAGTGAGTTTTACCAGAGGTGGAAAAAGTAAAAATATTTTGTACTCAAGTAAAAATACTGCTACTTTTGTTCGAGTAAAATTGTACTTAAGTACAAGTAAAAGTTACTAGTCGAAATGTTTACTCAAGTAAAAGTGAAAAATCTCTAATAAAATGTACTCTAAGTAAAAGTTACAGTGTTACTTTTTTAACAGCAAAGATATACAAAAAATAATGTTTATCTTTTACTATTTGACAGCTGTTATCTGACAATGATAACAGCTGTCAAATAGTAAAACATAAACATTGTTTTCTGTATATCTTTACACTATAAACCTTTTGTTAAATTTGAGTAGCAGTTGTTTGTCTAAGTTAATATATTTTAATCTTGCTATTAATTCATATACTATTGCATTACAAAGAGCATCTACAAAAGAACATCAACATTTTCAAAATAAAGTTAATAATTGTGTAAACAAATTATTGACAACTAAATAACAACTTTTTGTGCTTTTTCAAAGTACTTTGTACAAAATATAAACATAGCAAAACTTTGATTTAAATTTTCTTCTAAAATTTAAATAAGAAAGATTTAAAATTTTAAATGTGAGCGGTTGCATGTGTTTGATGTCTTCTTAACTTCACTTAAATTATTATGAAAACAAATTTATAAAACAGGAAACAAAGGAAACAAAGGAAAAGATAAAGAAACAAAGTTATAAAACAGGTGCTACTTTTTTATCACATAAGCATATATGATTTGAAATGTAGCAAAGTAAATTTTTTTTTCTTTTTCAATACTTTTAAAAAAAAAATACTCAAGTAAAAGTACACATTAAAAAAAATACTTAAAAGGAAATTCACAATACTTAAAATAATTTATATATACTTAAAATATTTAAAAAGAACACTTAAAAAAATACTTAAAAAGAAAACTTAAAAAGAAATTTACAAAAAAACTACTCAATTACAGTAACAGGAGTAATTGTAATTTGTTACTTTCCACCTCTGACATTTACAAACTTTTGATAACAACAGCATAACTTTTAAAGAATTCCAAAAAATGTAGGAAAATTTCATAAAAGTACTCACCAGATTTTATATCAAATGAGCCACCTGCAATAGTGCTTTTTTTATTTGATAAAATATATGTTTCTGGGTGTAAAAGTTGCCCGACTATGTCACTGTATTTTGTGCCATTAATTATATTTTTGTCATCATATGTAACATCTGACAGAAGAATACCACCAATTTGTTTTTGCAGCTGAATGTATTTCTAAATTTTATATCAAATATTTTGTAAAGTTTTTCAAAATTATCTGTAGTTTGTAAAAATCAAATATTTCAAAGTTTTTTTAAACTTTATTTACATATACTCATACTATTTATTCATTCAATTTATTTAAAAGTTTTATTTCTAGAAAGTTTTCTATTTTAGCATCAGAAAAAAAGATTAATTCCCTCATTAATTCCCTCAAACATCTTATTAATTCAATCTAAATAAAAAAAACTTACCTTGAAAAAAAAAATTATTTTAGTTAAAAATAAATAAATGCCCCCTCAATACTTAACAGATAAACAGATAAAAAATAGATAACAACTACAATAGTTTAAAACAAATAATTTAAAAAACATTTTCATTAAAAAAAAAATTACTGAAAATAGAATAGATAGTTTTGAAGGCTCAATATAGTGGTTTGCTGAATAGCTGGCTGTCTGTGATGAAGGAATACCAATGAAGATTGTTGGTATTAAACTCATCCAAGAATCTAGTACTCTGCTAAAATCTTCCTCTTTTCCAAAAGAACAACTATTATCTCCAAAGTTGACATAGAGTGAATTTATTTTAGTACCAGATGATACATAAACTTTTCCTAATCGAAAATCAGGAAATGCACAGCTTGGAGATGAGGTTATTAAATAAACTTTACTTTTGTCTGACACCATTAAAGTTCTCATCTCAGTAAAAAAATCATCAAACCACGATGCTTCACCAAATCGCAAATCAATATTAATTCCATCAATAACTGCACTATAAAAAATTTTTTAAAAAATAAAAAAAATTAAAAGTTAAACATTAGAAAATCAAAAAAAATCAAAAATAATTCTTTTTATGGTCGAATTGAGTGAAATGGACCTATATTTAATACATAGTGAATATTTTGCTATAAATTTGTACCACATTTTTTTTAGTTATTGTTTAAAAAGAGCAATTAATTATATAAGAATTTATGCATTTAATTTTAAAATTAAATGCACATTTATAAATGCACATTTATGCTGATTATAAGATACTACTGAATTTTATTAATAAATGCATAAATTCTTAAATAATTAATAGCTCTTTTTAAACATAGTAACAAAAAAATGCGGTACAAATATATAGCAAAATATTCACTATATACATTCTTTATTTGAAAATTAATGCCAGTGCACAAAAAAGCGCTGTCAGAAAGGTCATTTTTAAGTTAGTCTTCGCTATTTAAAAAACAATTTTTTCTGCTATTTAAATTGAAATAAATATAGCGAAAAAAAATGCCACAAATAAATACTAGATAAAATAATTTAAAAATATTAAACAACTCTTGGAATTAGGAGAAATGAGGTCGGCAATAAATTGCTGACCTCAAACTGTCAGAGGTTGGCATTTTGTTGGAAAAAAAAAATTGACACAAGGGAGATAGGATAAAGCATAGAAACAAGGTCATTTGCAACTTTTTGCCGACCTCAAACACTTTAAGGTCAGCAATAAGGTTGGGATTGCTGAATGCCAACCCTAATTCTGAGGGTTGTTTAAATATAGCTCTATTTTACACAAATTGACAATAAAAAAAATTATTTTTGATTCACACTAAAAACACCAAGTGGTTTTAGACCATGTAATATATGTAAAAGCAGACTTTACCACGAAAAGTAATTTTTAAATCTAAAATATTTTTTGTTTATTAAATTAAATCTTAAAATATGTTATGTGAAGGTCAAACACAAATTTTAAAGTACCTAAATTACCTATAGTAACTGAAAATCGAAACAAGTTAAAAAAGAAGCCACTTTTTGATTTAGACTGTGGCTTAGATTTTAGACTGTATATAACTTTGAACTCAAGAAATTCTTGAAAAGCTTTGAAAACATGCAAAAGGCTTTTTTCAAAAAGCTTTGAAAACAAGAAGCTCTTTTGAACAAGAACTCTTTGGTTTTAGACTGTATATAACTATGTAACCAATCCTCAGGAGAAAATAAGGTCAAAGTAAATATTGTGCTAACACTTTTATAATAAAGTTCTAAAGATACAGTTGTAAATTGTAGCTTCAAACTTCAGTTTGAAGTTACAATTTACAACCCAAGATTTCCCCAACCCAAGATGTTAGAAAGCATGAATATACTTTAAATTGTTTATAGTAGACAGCCTAACAGATATCTTTGGACATAAAAAATCTAAATTTTAAAATTCCATCTGTGGATTTTTGACCCAGAAATTCTGCTGTATATTGAGAATAGATATAGACAAAGGATTTAATAGTTTTAAAGTTTTTTTTTATATAAATTTATCACAGTTAAAAATGCACTGGGATGCATCATTGATACTCTTAAAAGCGGAGACTCTGGGACATACAACAATAGTAGTTAGAAACTTTTACTGGAATACCTAGAGTGATGAAGTCCATGTTAAACAAATATACATTAGTCTCTGTGTGTTGTCTTGTATTGTCTAATGGATCCAGATAAAATTGAAATATATTTTTTAAAGAAACCACACCATCTAAACCTAACTAAAATGTGTAACTGTAGTATACTGTATTATCATATTTGTAGCTTCTCTTTTAGAGGCAGAATAAGAGATACATCTACTTTTCCAGTATATACATGAATAAAATGTGAAATACGACAATTGACATGAATAAAATGTGAAATTTTATTCATGTCATTTCCTTTTTATGCATATTTATTTGTTTTTGTTATAGTTAAGGATACACTTACACATTGCAAAATTGACAAAATTACAGTCAGTAAGAGGTTATAATTACGAAGTAATTGACAAATTTTAATCAGCCTTGTAAAGACAAATTACTTGGAAAAGTAATCATACTTTGATACTGATTTGAGCTATCTACATCTGCATTTATTGATCCATTTAGGTGATGTAGGTGAAGGTAGGCTTGTTAGAGTTTTCACGTCTTATTCAAATTTGTTTTAGATCTTGCATAAGCTGACGGACTACCATTAAACAATAATGTTGGAGGTAAATTCGTCACAGTTCTTCTTGACTGATTTGAACATCCATCACCTGAAAATACATCTATAAATTAATTAACAACTATAACTTCATGCTGTACATATGTTTTAGCAAGTTACTTCATTTCACAATCTTTTTTCATTGAGTGCAATGGAAATAAGATTATTACTTGATGAATAATCAGACTCACTCAAAAGAACATAATCAGAGTCATCTGGATCACTATCAGCATATTGTCTTCTTGATTTTTAATGTTTTTCTATTGGTTGCATCATTCTTTCTCTTAAGATTTTATTTACCATCATTAATTTTCATGACCAGATACACTGGTGTTTCCAAAATTTTGAATTATTCAATAAGAACATTAATAGAGAAATTTTGGCTTAGTAATAATTGCAGTACCTTTCATAGTTTTTGAGAACAAGTTGAGATATGTCTTTTTGGTTTAGTAGGGTAGAATGCTACATGTTTTTATGTAACTTTTATCCATGTTACACCATTTTTTTTTTGTTTTGTTTTTATTTTGTTAAATAATTGAAGAAACAGTGCAAAAAAAGATTTTTGCAAATTGTTCAGAAGAATAGAAAAAAAAAAACTGAATAATTTTGTAATTCCTTATTTCTCACAATTTTAATTGTAAATAGGGCTTACAGTTATAACTTTTGTTAAAAAGTTCAAAAATTTTTTTAGTTATGTTAAAATACACAAAGTAATCCAAAGTATACAAAAAAGTATTTATTTGTTTATTTATAAAAACAAAAGCAAATAATATCAATGAGTACTCTTCATAGTTTGCTTTAAAAAAATCAATACATCTAAAGTTTAGCATTTAAAGAATTTAGTATTTTAATTGCAAACAGTCCAAGATTAGAAAAAGGTCTCTCAGCTTCTACTGACATTGGAAAAATTGTTTAAAGCTCTAAATATTTGGGCCTAGCTTTGCTAGCTTCAAAAACAGCCTTTTTTATAAGAAGAAGGCTTGTTTCAATTTCCTGATGGTCAAGTTTCATTTCAACATCTGATTGTTCAATAAAAAATTTGAGTTGTTGAGATAAATTTAATTCAGTTTTGATTTTTACTTCAATTTGTCCTTGAATAACAAATCAAAGTTTTTTCTTTTTCAAATTTTCAATTATATTTGGTCAAAGTTCATCATCAATGCTCACTGGTGATCTACGAAATTTTACTATCAATTTTCTAATTTTTACAACTGTTTCTTGATATTCAAATTTCAATAATGGAATAAAATCTTCACTAACTGTATATACAGTTTGAATATTGTCATCAACTATCCCATAACATATAAATAACAAAATATAATAGTCCCATCTTCATCATCACTATAACCTTGATCATAATCTACAGCTTCCATATCACTGAGAGCATGTTTATAATCAGAACAGAATCAATCACTCATAGATGAATAGCATGGTTGAAACAAATACAATGTTCAAAGGTAGTGTCTTGACCAATTTTTTTCATTAAGCTAGCTCCATTAGTAACTGGTCAGTAACAGGTACAATACCTTAGTCTAAATTTAAATCAAATGAATTAAGCTTATCACTGATCAATTTAATGTCTTTTGTTGTTAGATTCTTAAATTTCCAGGCGATTGAAATCCTTCATAGTGATGTAGACTTAAGTTCATATATCTTCTGTTTTTTATTGAAGCATACTCATCAAATGTAAGACTAAACTTTTATCTATCTTCAAGTTTCATTTTCAAAGAACCTGAAGTATTTAATGACAATATTGCAATCTGTTTGAGGACTTTAAGGATATCCTTGGGCACGAAATGCTGATAAAAAATCTGTCTGTAAAACTATCAACAGAATGTGGGCTATCTTGCTCTGATATACAGTTAAACACCAATTTCAGAAAGACAGTTTCAACAGTTTTAAAGGAAACCACCATCTTTTAAAATACTATTAGCCAATCTGGTATATTGCATTTTTTTTTTTTTTTTTTTGAGTACTCATTTACATGGTAAAATGAGATTTTTTATGTTTTTTTAGAACAAAGCAGAAAATTACCTCATAAAATTCAAGATCAACTCATAGGTTTCTGGTACTAAAGTAAATTTATAATATGTTTTAACTGAAGACTCATTCTTATAACAAAACTATTTTTTTTCTTCTCTTTTCTTTCCCAATCAAACCAAAAAGGTTATATGATAAGAAGCTGTATTTTAGTTTCAGATATTTATGTATTACAAATTTTCCAGTATGAAATTAAACAACTCTTTATTTTATTCTATAAACTACAGTTGTCAGAATACAGAGAATTTTACCAACAACAAAAGTTTCAAAATAAAAATGAAAACCTACATTATTTTTCAGGAAACCTACATTATTTTTTAGGAAACCTACATTATTTTTCAGGAAACCTACATTATTTTTCAGGAAACCTAAATTATTTTTCAGGAAACCTACATTATTTTTCAGGAAACCTACATTATTTTTCAGGAAACCTACATTATTTTTCAGGAAACCTACATTATTTTTCAGGAAACCTACATTATTTTTCAGAAATCTTATCATACACAGGCTTGTAACTAGACTCATTTTTAGGAGAGTGACATATTTTTTACTGCGGCCCACTGTTTAAGAAAAAAAATTTAATGTCATTTTTTTTATATATTAACTAAACACTAAATTTCCTGCCACTTTAAATATAATTTAACTAAAGAAAAATTATTATTAAAAAGTTAACAACAAGAATTTGATCTGAAAAATAAGATTTTAACTAATAGCAACAAATGTTTGTCTAAAGAAAGGTTACAAATTCTAATCTTCTTG